AGAGAGAGAGAGAGAGAGAAAGAAAGAGAGACTTATAACTAGATTATGGGTGACTAACAGAATAGCTTTTGTCTGGAGCTCGTAAGCCATGAGATCCTTGTAATCGGTGTTCGAGTGGTTGAATGGAGTCCTCACGCCATCAATGAGGACAATGTTTTTGCCCGAAAACTTCTGCCCACTCGTCGTAGAGGCGCAGCGGACGCCCATCGCAGCCGCCGGTGACCACAATCGGGTCAATCCATGCATACGTGCCGTTGAAGTCAACATTGTTTACACCTGTGCCGAGGGGTCGGAGGGGGAGACAAATAAAGGGCTATTATTAGACATGTTATATGCAATATGAACGTGATAATCGTGGTGTAGAATTGAGCTAGCTCGTTTTCTAATTGACATTTAATGAACGCTAATAAAATAAATATACTTACAAATTGAACGTGAGTATTTTTTCCTAACAAATGTATTACAAGTTATGTATAATTAATTATATATTTGACGGGAAATAACTTTATGACAAATGTTTCATTCAATTGTATTATTATTGTTATTATAAATCAATTAATAGTTTTAATCATAAATATTATAATTTGAGTTAAAAATTAAATGTTTTAACGTTTGCATTGACTTTGCATTCACTGGTGTTTTGTTGATAAAACCTGAGTACTGTTCACAAACACTGTTACTCCGGTTTTGTGTTAAATCCCCCGCAAGCGTACACTTGACCCCCTATAACTTTATTTAAATTGACCATGCTATAGTTTTTAATTGTATTCATTTGTAAACATGTTAATTTTAGTACTGATTATGAATAACATGATAATTCATATTATTTGTGACTTTTATGTATGTTATGATTTTAATTATAAAAATTAACTATGGCATATTTTATCAGACATACCTCCCATCTCCCCAATTAACAGCTCGTTATTTATTGTATTATTGAATTATACTCTACAGTAAGTACAACCTAATCAGTTTAAAAGTTAGGTGAACTTTAGTACTTGTATTCGACTATGGTGATAAATTCAGTTTAATATAAGCAATCTTTTAATAATTTGGCATAATTTAGTAAAAATTATAAAAATTAAATATTAAGCTAGGTTAATTTTATAGGTAAACACCCGGGTAATAGTTGTCAAAGTACCTTATTACAGACAGATATAGGTTGTTAAGTATACATCCTGGTACCAAATGATTTTACCGTTCAGTTTTGTACTCAAAAGTACTCAAAAAATAATGTAAAAACTTGTATTTTAATCATTCTCAATCTAAACAACTATTCCATACAAAATACAATAGTCAATGTTAATGCATGGTGTTTAGCGATACAATAATTAAAGTTACTTAATAACATATTCTATGGATTATAAGTAAAATTAGGCATATTATAAAGTGCGAATTTTATAAAAATAAGTATAAATTTTAATGAAAGGAAATATAATGTACTGTACATGGTAGGGTCTATTAACTTATTTTATTTATCAATAATCAATTATCAGCTATAATTCTTTGTCACTGATAGATAACCAAACGTCTTAAGTTAACTTTGGACCCTCATTAATATTTTGGCATTAATATTGTGAGCATGTCATTAAATTAACAAATAATAAGTAACATTTTTGGTTATGAATTCATAACAAACATGATATTTATTGATTTTGAATTAAGTGAAATGCAATTTTAATTTGAAAGTAGACCATATTATATCAAATACAGAAATTGGCTTGGTACATTCAATTAAATTCTATATTACTTTTTGTATAAAACATAAGGACATGATTTGATAAAATAGTCAAAAGTCAACCAAAAATTTAGTTTTCAACTCAAGTTGTATTTAATAAAATATTTAACTATTAACATAAAAATGTAGACAAATTATATGTAAATTATTGTTTCGCATGATTTTAAATAATATTAATAATTAACAATTAATTAATCATTTTGTAGTAACATTTGCTGGTTAAATATAAAATCGTAAATAATTCTATATAAATAATAATTCATTAAAAATTGGTAATTATTTTATTTATTTGTGAACATTTAATGTCCAGAAAAATAAATAAAACGTAAGATGAAAACCATTTACAATAATAACATTAACAATAGATTCTATGGCCAGCACTTCAGCCCAAGGGGTGATTCTGGACAACCCCTCCATTGTTGAGCACCTCTGCGGCGATCTCTTTCATTGTCGAGTAGTTCTTCAGGTCTTGAGTGCCTCGAAGTTGACTCAGATTTGTCGCTATCCGTACCGATGCCTACAAAATAAACAATCAATTTATTACAGTTTACTAAAAAAACTTTACGTTAAGTTAATAGTTATAACCAGAAAGAAAAGTATTTATAACATTTGGGTGTTCACAGCATCGATGAACATCTGTATGGCACACGTGTGTCCACAACCCAGTGTTCAGTCGGGCTGACAAACAGGACACAAACACCTGTGCCATACATTTAATCGCATACCTCATTGCATTGCAGGGTTGCAAACCTCCTCTCGAGTCCAGCGCTCGACAAGTTCTTCTCCAGAGCTCTGGACGCGCGGCTCAGCACTACTACAGAGGCGTAGATATCAATGGCCGCGTCGGCCAGTCGTCGCTGAAGCATCTGTTCGTGAATTATATTTTTGTTGTATTTGATGAGCAGGTGTTCAACCGATGCGCCGAAGTCTTGAATGGACTTAGAAATGAGGGCCGCGTTGTTGCGGAGCTCTGGCGCCACGTATTCAGATAACGAGGGTCCGGACGATAGACCGACAGTGCGGGCGAACCGTTTGGTTCCCGCGCCGAGTATGACCCCCAAGTTGGCCACCGGGCTATTCATCGCCCGCTGCAACTCTTTGAGGTGTCCGCCGGCGTATTGCAGACCTATTAAGCGAACAAAACAGAGAGAGTAAGCAATAAGCTAATTGTCACTACCATTAGTTGTCACCACCAGTACTAACCCGTGAGCGCCACGAAGAGTCTCATGATATCATTGGTTCCCTCGAATATACGGAATATACGTAAGTCCCGCAACACCTTCTCGAGCCCTGTCTCACGCATATAACCCATGCCTCCCAATATCTGTATGGCCTCATCGCACACATACCACGCGGCGTCTGATGAGTAAACTTTACTGACAGCCGCTTCTAACTGATAGTCGCCGTATCCCTTGTCCATCATTCCACTGGTGGGGCAGAGAGTCGTACAAAATAGTTTATAGTATTATATACCCCCTATTGGGAAGAGTGGGTGACCACATACCTGAGCATATAAGTCATGGATTCGGTGACGTAATGTTTAAGAGACATGCGAGCGATCTTCTCCTGTATGTCACCAAAAGTGGACAGTTTGTCACCGAATTGGGTTCGGGTGTTGGCGTGTTCTGTGGCCTTCGCTATACACGTCCGCATTGAACCTGTAGTTCATGGAAAGGATAGTTATGTTACATAACTTATGTATTAATCAGCAAATTAAAACTAATTAATTAAAGTGATTAGGGATTGGCAAATGACATGGACTTACCAGCGAGTGTACCTCCCATACCGAACCGGCCGTTGTTCAGTATATTCATGGCCACTTTGAAGCCGCCGCCCACCTCTCCCAACACGTTCTCCACGGGAACCATAACATTGTCGAAGAATACTTCGGTAGTGTTTGAGGCCATGATTCCCATCTTTTTGTAAGGCGGCCCAGCGGTCAGTCCCGCACCCTTTTCCACCACAAACGCTGTCACTTTGTCTTTGGTCTCTGAGCCCACCGTTACGGGTGTTTTGGCGAATACTGTGAACACTTCGGCGATACCACCGTTCGTTATAAAGATCTTCGAGCCGTTCAGCACATAGTGTTTGCCATCGGCTGAGAGGACGGCTTTCGTTTGGATACCACTGGCGTCCGAACCTAACGGTGCAATCAATCAAAGTGTTAAAAATCATGTAATTGGGACCAAAAATAAGTGGTCACTTACCGGCCGACGGTTCGGTCAAACAGAAACAGGCGATCCTATTGCCGGCGGCCAAGTCTGGCAGCCATTTCTGCTTCTGAGCGTCGGTGCCGTACAGTAGTATTCCCTTATAGCCGATGGACTGATGGGCGGCAAACGTTACGGCCAGACTCAGATCGTAACGGCCGGTGATTTCGGCAAGAAACCCGGTTTGTGTGTTATTGAAACCGATGCCGCCGTACTCTGGGGGCACTTGTATGCCAAACGAGCCCATCTCCTTCAACATTGTCCACAGTTTCTCGTCGTACGCGTGATTCTCCTCAAATCTCAGCGCGTCCTCCGGTTTCCACGTCCTGACCATCGGCTCCGTCACCATCTCTACAGTCTGTATGTCTTCGGGTGACAGCACTTGCGGGTATGGGAACTGTTGCTGTACTTTGCCTTCGCCGCAGAACAGGTTCATCACAAATGATTGGGTGGTCTCCACCGGTCGGCGCTCGCGTTTGGCCGCACTCTCCGCTCCATCGGCGGCCACTTTCGGCGAATTAGATTGACATCTGAATGTGGTTTGCAATTCAATTGAGAATTAATATTACACGTAATGTTAATTGAGATTTAAATGAAGTTAATTACCGGATAATCGTCTGAAAAGTGTTGACATTTTGCCAATTATTCCGTCGATATATTTGTCGCAAACTTTTGCTTAATTTCAATGAATTCATCGCTTTATTAAACTATATTTAGTTATTAAAAATTATTGACTATTACTATCACAACAAAAAGTAATTGACTAAAAGACTAATGAAATACTAATAATTTAAAAAATCAGATTTATAAACAAATACACAATAAATTTAAATACTAATTAAATGTTTTGTTATGTAGTATTCTTATTATGAATTATATTTAGTTATTATTAGTAAATAAATTTAATTAAAGTAAATAAATAAACATTATTTGCATGTAGAATATAATTAAAACAAGGCTTTGGGATATTTTGTAGAGTACGTCACATTTGGTTAAACAGGTTTAATTAAATGTTTAGGATTGACAACTTTTTACAACATTTACCATGTGAAGGCCAACCTAATAGTCTATCACTATTGTGAACCCCCCCTCCCCAGTACACACCGGGGCACCACTTCCAGGGCAACAAACACCATAAAGTTTGCACTCAAAAGTACTCAACTGTATTATGCAGACAAAACTACTATTATATGTGTATTTTTAAGCATGCTCAATCTAAAATGCATTTCCATACAAAAGCATAATAATTATCACTAAAATTTGAGCATGGTTACTTTATAGAATATTCTGTGCAAAATATTATTCACATTGATACAAACGCAATGATACAAATGTTTTGGAATTTTTAATAGTTTATAGTTTAATAAAAAGTTAATTTACAATTTGTGTAGTCAATAACCATTTAGAACTTTGGAACCTCATGCATTTTTTAGATATTAAAAATTGTGAGCATCCATGATAAATAGTAAATGCAATATAAAAAATAATTGATTTTTGTTGTTATTGTAAATAACATGGTATTTACTGATTGTGAATTGAGCTCAATGCTAGACTAGTTAAAAAATCATGTGCGGATTTGCACTTCGTACATGTCACAGTCAAATAAAAAATGTGCTTGGTGCATTTAATTCAATTCTTATGATTAGTATTTTTAGTACAAAAATATCAATAAAAACATTGTTTTTTACCAATTCTACTGTACAGTACACTGCAATTAATAGTGTGAGTGATACTATTATATTAATTAATCTACAGGTCTGACCAATACTCGACTTACAGTATTTATACTAACGGTTTTTTTCACAAGTTTTTCATTGTGTACATCACTTAAAAAAAATTTAAAATTTCAGTGTTTGTTCAAAACATAACTTTTATTCAATACAAAACATATCAAAACAAATCATTTCAAAAGATGTTCAAATTGTTTACCCCCTTCCCCCTCACACATTCGTAAACGATATTCCCAATTAACCCTGACTTTCTCTAACATTTGAGGGGTTATACTTTCAAAAGCGAGTCTAATCTTATCTTTTAGTTCATCTAATGTTTTTGGATAATTATTTGGCACATATACTTTGTATGAGACGTAACCCCACAAAAATGAATCGCATATATTCAGGTCAGGTGAGTAAGGACACCACAAACCGTAATTACCCCCTGGTCCTATCCACCCTTGCCCTCTATCTAAAGGGAACATCTCATCCATGTAATCCTTTACTATGTTTGCCTTATGTCCAGGGGCCCCATCCATCAAGAATTTAATTGATTTAAATTCTGGACGTAATTGAATTGGTGGAATAACATGAATAGACATCATGTCCCTAAAACTAAGCCCTGAAACATTTTGGTCAAAAAAATATGGACCTATCTTTCTATTGCCCCAAATCCCTCCAAAGCACATAACCTTAGGCGTATTTTGAACATTAATGTCAATTGCAATGCGTGGGTTCTCTTTAGACCAGTAATGCCATTGCTGACGGTTAAACATATTATTGCATGAAAACAATTTCTCGTCAGTAAAACAGATATCATTAATCCAATTAACATAATTTGATGAGTCGATGAAATCAAGTGCCCACCGACAGAAATCCAAACGTTTGTCGTGATGTTCAGGCAAAAGCTTGTAAAGGTATAATGAAATTTACTAAGAATTTAATTTTTACATTCATTGCAATAGTCTTTGAAATAAATATTTACCTTTTGCACATTATGCAACTTATAAGGGTGAAGTTGGTTGTTGTGCAAAATTCGCAGAATTGATGATTTCGAAATCCCAAGTTCTCTTCCCAACGGTTTTGCACCAACCATTGGACCCAATGTATTGTTCTGCAATTCATGCAAAACTCTTGTCGTGTTTTCTGGTGTTGTGACAGACACTGGACGGCCAGATTTTGGTTTGTCATGAACAGAGCCCGTTTGTTCAAAGCGTGTCCTCAAACTATTTACCATAACACGTGACGGTACAACTTCGTTGGGATGAAGTTCGTGATATGTGTTACGCACTTCAGTAGCAGACTTTCCTCCAGTTTTGTGGTAGTTTTGACAATTAGAATTGCCACAACTGTAACTTATTTTTATTAATTCAATTCTTTGTTGAATACTGTACATTTCATTTAAAGTATTGCCACTCATTGTTTATAACTTTTATTACAATTATTAAAATCACATTTAAATGTTTTTATTAGTGAATGAATTAATTGATGTCGAGTTAATTGTTGTTTATTTGTTGTCTTGAAATGACACTTAGGCCAAAAACAGTAAAAATTATTATCAGATTTAGTAATGATATGACAATTGTTTAGTATTTTATCACTGATTTTACATAAATTGCAATCAATTTGTGTATTCAATCGTTTTACACAAAACACTATTATTTGCATTCAAAATACACTGCATTTTGTCTATTATTTCACAAAATAAGTAATGATATGACAATTGTTTAGCATTTTATCACTAGTTTTACATAAATTGCAATCAATTGTTTGATTGATTGAAAATTAATCATTATTTTTGCATTCAATCGCTTCACACAAAACACTATTATTTGTATTCAAAATACACTGAATTTTGTCTATTTTTCACATAAACTTTTCATTGCATTTAATTTACTCTTCAATTCAAACACTCATTAATTTTGAACACATTTTCAAATAATAATTAAAACACAAATTTAGTACAAAACAAAATGAGATTAATATTTGAAGTGAACTCAAACCTAATGGAAAAGGAAATGAAATGCAACTCAAAATCAAATGCATATCTTTTACAACACGTGTTCTTATTGATAGTGAAAACCTGTTGAACAAAATTATTAACTTGTGTTTAAGTTTAACACAATTTTGGGTATAAACTCACATTCATTAACAGGTGTTCAAAAAAGATAAGAATATCTTATGATTTGGTGAGTGAACAACAAATGATAAAACTTATGATTTGTTTCCCTAAGGGATAGCGTTTTAACACTAAATATACTGTGACTTTCAAACTTATAATACATTTCTTAATAAGGGGACATAAAAAGTTTACTGTAAACTAGTGTAGGTAAAATTGTTTCGCACTTCCTTAATAAATACAAAATATGCAAAAACTTGTTTTAAAATTGTAAACTATCAGGGTACTTACAATAGCATAGAGAAATTCCCCGTAGACTTATTATGGAGTTTATTTGTCAGGTATTTTTATTACCATGAGTTAAAATAAATTGCCCCTTTCATCGATACAAACAATAAGTAAATTATCGACGGGATAAGATAAACAAGGTCATAAGGTAGTCAAAGTACAGTTGATGATAAGGGTAATTTACAGACAAGTTCAGGTATATCATAAAAAGTACTCAAACATTGTCAATTTACTATTGACAACGTGTAGTAAAATGTCTATTTGTTTTATTACGAGTTCATTAAAACGAAAATTCACTGTATTTTTCCCAAACAAGTCCATTCTGTGATGCAATAGAGAGTACAGTACAGTATTATTGAATATTTTATAGAGTTATTTCATGTAAAACCTACGGCTCGAGTCAACAACAATTTTAAGCAATGGACTAAAAGTATGCCAAATGATTGTGTTGTTTACAACTTGTTTTTCCCGTACATCTGTCAATACAGTATATTATCGCTCATATATACACTTAAAATAAAGTAAACTATAATTCACAATATTTAAGCATGCAAATTCGTGTAGAATAATCAATGTTATTATTTCACGAGCAGTTTTTGCATGTTTATTTTACCTTGATAAATTCTTTTATAAACAATTTACATATTAATATATGCGTTATATTGATTGCACTCATTAACGAGTATCGACTGTATTGGCTGTAGTATTGGGTATATTTGTCATCGCATTTGAAAACACTTTTAAATTCAATA